TATATAAACTGTATGGTGGCCAAAACTATTAGAACACTAGTATTTTCACCAGCTAAAAAATGGTTTTGAGTCAGTTATTTCTATCTTTTGCTGTAGAGTGTCAGTAAATCGGTTTGCATTTCCAAACATTCATTTTGCCATTCATTGTAATAATCCAGTGAGATTTTAGTTTGCACAAGGAGTCTGACAACAGCCAGTGCTCCACACAGAGATCTGATCTCATCATCATCAGTCTGTCTGGAATGACATGAAGAAACAGAACAAACTGAGACAGACTCAATCCAGAAGAACTGTGGCAACATCTCCAAGATGCTTCAGACCTCCCTGCAAAGCTAAATTATTAAAGGTTTTAGGCACTTGTGTAAAAATGCTGTAAAATGAGGATGCTGTCAAAAATAATGTCATAAACAGATTATCTTTATCAATTAACTTCTATTAACTAAACTAAATCAACATTTGGTGTGACCATCGTTTGTGTTTAAAGCAGCTTTTGCCCTATAGGTGCACTTGCGCATAGTTTTTCAGGTAGCTTTGCAGGGAGGTCTCTTGAAGCATCTTGGAGACGTTGCCACAGTTCTTCTGGATTTAGTCTGTCTCAGTTTGTTTCTTCGTATATATAACTAGGTTGGTTATGTAATTGCATTTAATTTCATTCCTTTGACTGAGGTTCTTTATGTGGATTGGAAAAATACAAATGTTATTGAGTCTGGTTAAAGCCGAGCCAAAACGATGAACATATATGAATGGGAATTTCTATCATAATTTAGAACCAATTCTGAAGGATGAAGAAAGAATCTTTAAATATAATAATATAATAAAATCCTATTGAAATATAAACAAACAAATGTATACATATGCAAATACATTAACAAATTAATTTAAACAACGAATTATTATTGGTAGAAACAAATAAATAGAAATAACTATTTTACTAAAAATACATATGTGATATAAATGATTGTGAAAAAAAATTAAATAACTGTGACTGTATTCAACAAAACATGAGTACTACTTGCCGGAGGGTAATACATTCATAATTGAATACAAACTCAAACACATCATAAAACATATCCGAGTCTGGCCACCGAGCCCGTGCGTCAGGCCTCCACGTGACGCATGACGCATAATCAGAGTCCTACTAAAAGAAAATCCAACAGGAAAAACCTGCGGCTTCTGCGCGCGACCTGACGCCCAAGTCCAGAAAGTTGTGAAGTTTACTTGATCTCTTTATAACAGTCCATCAGATCCGAAGAAAGGAGGCTGCGATGTCTGCCGATCAGAAAGAGGTAAATGCGCTGCTTCCAAGCTTCTTTTTGGATGTACCGGTAGCAACCGGGCTTTAAAAAAGAGTGTACCACGTTTCTAGGTTACATAGACTCTCATATGAGAAGTAGTGCAGAAGGTTATAACCGGTTATGATGGCAAACTTTTGCATCAGTTTGAGCTGTGTGTATTTGATTTATGATGTAATTGAGATTGCTATAATGTGGGTTTGTGATGTAACGCAGCA